GAAGTAGGAATATTATTACAATATAATAGAATTATTCATTTCAGGCCAGCGAGTCAACACAATGAAGTACTAGTATCCCGTGACGGATGTCTGGAGGAGCTTTCTGCTGACAGTAACACAATGGTTACAATGTGCATCCTGTCAAAGGACGAGGAAGTGAAAAGCCATATTCATTCAATCAACAAATGTGGTTCCTGTCACATTTCTCGTAAATAGGACGAGGAACTGAAAAGCCTTATTCACTCACAAATCAACATGGCCAATATTTATCGGACACTGAAAAAGCACATTGTACCATTTGTTTACAAGCAAGAAAATTATTTTCTCCTGGATTAGGTGCTTTTGACTGACAAAGACACCCAGTCCATGTTAAGTTTTGAAAACTTATATTCTGAGAAATAAGGATATGAAAGTTTTGGTTTGTTTTTCTTTGTCAAATATGAGAAATCCAGATTGTTCCATCAACATAATTTGTACCGTTACATATATTTTATCTTGGCTTGATTACCAATTGAAGTTGATTCCTTTTTATCTTTTGTTATTTTATCTGTACTCATATCTGATCAAGACATTTTCAAACTATTCAGGATAAATGTATTAGTAGCTTCCTTTTGATATACAATTACCTTTCATCATACAGGATTAGGTGAGGGTGTTCAAGAAGTTGGTAGTTGTATCAATTCTTATATTTCTTCAATTTCATGCATTATTTATATTTATCAATTTTTAGTTTCCTTTTAACTTATCTTAAACAGTTCACACATTATTACTTTTGTAGTGCACGGTGCAATCTCAATCGGCAATAATCAGTTAAGTAAGTGATGTTTGAAGAACAAGTAAAGTATCATCTGTCATTGTACACACTGAATAGGGTTATCGCCCCTTCTGAATATTTATTTTGACACACGAATTATTTTCATAATTAACCTTGTAATATGTTAAAATGAAAATCATAGCAGAAAAGTGTCTTTTGTCAACTGGACTCATGGCAAAACGATAGTGCGTTGTGCAGCAAACACCACTATGAAACGTGAAATAAACATGATCTCAATCTTGATCTAGAGTTCGCCAAGCCACGCATTGACTGAGCAATTTTGCAAAAGTACACTGACGTGTTTCATGTTATGCGGTTTATATACGATAGAAAACTTCTGTCATTGAATGTACTGTCACATTGTACCTATATGCCGACGAGGTTATGATAAAACAATCTATTTCTGAAATACGTATCTCGAAATGCACCTTTCGATTCACTTCCGGGATCCTGACAGCAAAATGCTAATTCCAGTGTATAACAGGCATATTTTAGTTGGACCTCATGATTTAATGTGAAATATCTTCTGTATGATATACAGAGGATACCACTTTGAAATGTCCAACATGCTGTCTATTCCCTATGAGCTGGTGCGACTCTCACTGCATGGAGCTATGCTCTCCAAGCCTCGTTTTCGATCCAAGATGGCGAAAGTGTGAAAAAGGTCAATAGGATGACGGTCTGTAAGTTATCCAGTATGGACCAGACAATCCAGTGACTGACAACATGTGCATCGATCTTTGCAATTGATTTGTTTGTTTGTTGTTTGTTGTTTGTTTGTTGCTTAACGCCGCACTGAAGATCTTAACATTGGGAGACGTCGGACAGGCGAGTGTGTGACCTTCCCAACTTTGAAATGTCACCAAATAAAAGTATAAGAGGTAATACAAATAAACTCAAATGCAGTGTACGATGTAAAATGGATGCTTGCACTTCTTTTCTTTGTTTGTTTGTTGTTTAACGCCGCACTCGGCAATATTCCAGCTATATGACGGCGGCCTGTAAATAATAGGAGGAAGAGGATCGGGTGGTCAGGCCCGCTGACACAGTTGATGCATGCTTTTTTGTTTGTTGTTTAAAGCCGCACTCAGCAATATTCCAGCTATATGACGGCGGTCTGTCAATAATCGAGTCTGGACCAGACAATCCAGTGATTGACATCATGAGCATCGATCCAAGCAATTGCATGTCATCGTATCTTAATTGCAAAGAAACCCGTGAGGATCGGGGTAGAATAGGTCTTCAGCAACCCATGCTTGCCGTAAAAGGTGACTATGCTTGTCGTAAGAGGCGACTAACGGGATCGGGTGGTCAGGCTCGCTGACTTGGTTGATGCATGTCATCGGTCCCAATTGCGTGGATCGATGCTCATGTTGTCAATCACTGGATTGTCTGGTCCAGACTCTATTATTTACAGACCGCCGTCATATATCTGGAATATCGCTGAGTGAGGCGTTAAACAACAAACCAAATATCCATCTCCATATGTTGCCATGTAGATACCTCCATATGATACTTGGTACTCTGGAACTTTTTGACAATGAGAGAGAATAAAATGGTGATCGAAAACTGAACGAGTCTGGTTACCTGCTCGCAACGAAATCGTACTGTAGCTATAAACAACGGAGCGATGAAGATGCGAGTCGTAATTAGTTACAATGCCTGTTTAATATATCTATTCCCGTTTGGATTCCGGTTTTGAATAGGACCCCAATAATCCATGATTGTTCTAGTTCTAGCACCTGCCTAAGGGGCGACAAAATGAAGGTTGATAGTGTGTCATTGTACCCCGATCCGAACGAGGTTGTGGGACGTGGCTTATAATACCAAACACTGGTTTGTATGACTTATAATCCATTCTTTTCAGTATGATATGGAAACAAATTTACTTTAGATCTAGGTGTTTTCTATTTGGGTACTCGCTTAATAATTTAATTACTTATATCTGTAGCCTGAGATATTTCCGAGCCGACGTTACACATGTGGACATTTAATTTACAGTTTTTCCTAATTTTTAGACAATTATACAAAATATGTTATCTTCGGACAAACTATAGACAATATTGAATATAGTTCCAGTTTTGACTGTGTTTTAATGTGGAACATTGCTGTTTTCGCTGAAGCAAAGGCGACAATTGGACACAAGCATTCCTGGAGGTACAATCAGGAATGTTGGATCATTGAGGAATACGCCAAATAAACCATGGGCTGTGAATTATGTTCACGTAAGTACAGTTGTTAAATTGCATTGCCAACCATGTTGTTGGTTTTTTGGCTTTAAATGAATGCTTATAATGTATCGGTATGTATGTATTGTAGTCTGTGCTCGTGTCACATACACTTAGCTTTAGCCAAGATATTATACAGGCTTTATCTAGGTTTTTTTGTTTGTATGTTTGTTTGTTGTTTAACGCCGCACTCAGCAATATTCCAGCTATATGACGGCGGTCTGTAAATAATCGAGTCTGGACCAGACAATCCAGTGATTGACATCATGAGCATCGATCCAAGCAATTGCATGTCATCGTATCTTAATTGCAAAGAAACCCGTGAGGATCGGGGTAGAATAGGTCTTCAGCAACCCATGCTTGCAGTAAAAGATGACTATGCTTGTCGTAAGAGGCGACTAACGGGATCGGGTGGTCAGGCTCGCTGACTTGGTTGATGCATTTCATCGTATCCAAAATGCGTGGATCGATGCTCATGATGTCAATCACTGGATTGTCTGGATTTATTTACAGGCCGCCGTCATATAGCTGGAATATTGCCGAGTGTGGCGTTAAACAACAAACAATTGGGATTGATGACATGTATCAACCAAGTTAGCGAGCCTGACCACCCGATCCTGTTAGTCGCCTTTTACGACAAGCATAGTCGCAATTTACGTCTGTATGTATGTATCTAGATGTTACATACACGAAACTTATGCTCGGTGTTTCATACACGAGGGGGCGGTCGGGTAGCCTAGTGGTTAAAGCGTTCGCTCGCCACGCCGAAAACCCGGGTTCGATTCCCGACATGGGTACAATATGTGAAGCCCATTTCTGGTGTCCCCCGCCGTGATATTGCTTGAATATTGCTAAAAGCGGCGTAAAACCATACTCACTCACTCACTCATACACGAGGCTTATGTAAACGGATGTTGTAAATCAGATAGTAAAAAACACAGCTGTACAAAACTACGATTTTGACTGAGCCAGAATCTTCCCGATACCAACATTATTATGCACAGGAATTCAGCGTTTGCGGTATTTATTCATTGGCGCTTCACACATCCCAAAGTCGCCGGTCTGATGAATAGAATGAGTTCTCTGTATACCATACCCTTGTGGTCGTCCGTCCCACCTACCAAGATATGTATTCTGATACCATGACAAGGCGCATACCAGTCGAAAGGTCTCAAATCATTACTTTCCCATTGAACCGGTTTCCTTTGTAACCACACGATGAGTCAAAGGCTACCATCGGTCATTTAAATTCGTACAGTGTGAGTGTAACGTCGCGCGCTAAAAATTACTATATGAATTAAGGAAATGCAATGTATAGGTCCCAAAATATATTTATGTATATCCCTTTGGCATAATATTTCACAATCTGTCACAGTTAGTCACACAGTGTGAGAGCAAAGCCTTTGGGGTACTGTGTTTACTGAGAATTTCTATCACTGTTATAAATTAATGAAACTTTGCCAGATGCACCCTCTAGAAACACATATACCATTTGTTATCATTTTGTTTTGTTTCACTGTTCGGAATTAGGAGCAAAGAAATACATGAAATATTTCCATCAAATATCGTACATCCCACATTTCGTTCATTGTAGAAGATACTTGTAACACACAGTAGATCATTATTCTTCAATATTATATGTTCAGGCACAAGAAATGCATGATTGCATGTTTGCCGTTCGTGCTTTCTTAATTTTCCTGAATATGCTGTCGCGTTTCTCTGATCATGACCTTCACAGCAACCCAGAAGGAAATGGGAAGAGCCAGTGGGGTGAATGACCAATAATATTTCGTAAGAAAAGCGAATCACGTGATAGTTAAAACTAGAATTGTGGATTACCACATTTCAACCAATGAAAGTAGTTTGCACTAAAACAATGCAAACTGTCAACGATATATCAAAGCGACCGGAACTTAGGAGCGGAGGTCGGCATCAAACCGTATCCGAGGCGGACATTAACTCTTTCAATCTCTCTGTGCCCCTCACTCGGAGATTCCCAGTGTGACAGGTTTAGTCACGTACTTCTCCATGCGACAGGTGGCTGCATGGTTGTATGTGTAACTTTGAAGACCGATATTTATTCATACATCGGATGTTACATCAGTTTTACTTGTTATTTCAAGATTGTGACAGTTGGATGACATGAATACTTTCTGACACATTGAAGTGGTACAGGTTAAAAGGCGAATCTTCAAGGGTCGTGGCTATGCATTTCTTAAAGGCCTAGTATATGTATGGATGAACCTGCTACTCTGTTGTGGACATACATATATGTTTATTAAAGAAGCCTTGTGTCTCGTGGCGATGGTGAATACATGGACTGTTGTCATCAAAAGAGAATATTGTGTACAGTGTGAATACAAATGATTCTACTCCTAAGATGTCGGACGCTCGCGTACATATAGTCACATGCTTGAACGTTGACTGTGAAATACAGTATGCTCGTATGTGTGAGGATCTGGAGACCCGGGGGGTCGTGTGTGTCATGGAAGGGAGGGGGGATTATGGCATCGGGTCTACTTTTGTGAAGAGGTTCAAGGAAATGGTGGACAGCACCCTTGTGACAATAGTACACCTGTGCCCTGACATGATCAGCCGCCTATTGAGTTTAACTGACGTTCTCCGAGATCACCAAACTCAGAAATATTTATTCATACACGTCAAATCTACGCCGAAAGAAGTTCCGGACGTTTACAAAGAAGTTACAAAGATGCTCCTCGTGAATAATTCATACTATAACAAGATCATTGACAAGGTTGTGGAGATTGTCCAACAGCCTCCTAGCTGTGTGTCGGCCGCTACTGAACTGGCCCACACGTCTGCTATAGAATTGTCGTCTGCTACTGAACTGGCCCACACGTCTGCTTCAGATTTGTCGTCTGCTACAAGGAAGGAGGATGGTTATGATTCTGACTCTGGTACTTATTCCAACCCACCGCTTGGAGAGCCTGACGTCTTTGTCAGTCATGTAGAAAATCAGCAGTGTAGAGACACCGGGGTTTACTTTCTGTCCAGCAAGATACAGTACAAGCCTCACCATCTCCTGAAATGTGAGTACATGTGAATATCACGTAAATATGAGTTTGTTTTAATTGACATTCTATGAACTAGATTACGGGATTAGCGAGAATGGTGTACTTCAAAATGAAGCTCACGTCTTGGAAGCATCCGAGGTACAGATAGACGAAATAGTACGATGAATATTATGTTGATTATACATGTCGTTTTATTCCCGTTCCACTCCAAAAGGCTTATGATGAAGGGGTTTCCTCGTCCATATTTGTTTTAATTAGAAACAGCCTCGCAAACCATTTCTATAAGGCATGTGTGGACATGTTCACGTGTTGTTGTGTTTTACAATTTACAGTTCACCTTTTCGCGAACATCTGATATCATAACTATTAGAAAATGCTTCATAAATAAAGCGACAGCACCCTTTCCATAGAAAGTTCTGCATAAGTTGAAGTCGATTGTGCGATGTTTATAAATCACTATAATATAGAGTGAGTGTGTGAGTATGGTTTTACGCCGATTTAGCAATATTCCAGCAATATCACGGCGGGGGACACCAGAAATGGACTTCACACGTCGGGAATCGAACCCGGGTCTTCGGTGTGACGAGCGAACGCTTTAACCACTAGGCTACCCGACCGCCTCTATAATATAGAGATGACACCGGGTGTTCGCGAATCGGCGAGCGTATCCTGCCCCACCAGTGGAACCCGTCACAAACACATGCAAAGACAAGTCACTTGTTCACCTGAAAAAAAACAAGGGAACATATAGTACATGTCAACATGGGAATAGCATGGGACATCATTTTGTTCACTGATGCGTCAAATTTGGAAATGTGCTTCACAAACCACGTCTTTCATTAAACATTTTGAAAGCTTAACTGAGGCCTTGAATGTCAAGTCATTTATTCCGTATAAATGGCCATGAGGCCAACAGTACAACATATGTAAACTATGGGACAATATAATGATACGGCGCCACTAACATGATTCTATTTTATTTCACATTACATTCATATTATTTCTTATTTTAAAGACTTTATCAAGGAAAATACAGAGCTTAAGTAACTTATCATAATCAACCATGTTCAACAAGTTGATAAATTTGTACATATTTTGTTGATAATAATAATAAGTTGGAAGATATTTAACACGTAAATGGTTATAAGCCGGACATACCAACACGACATGGAGTTCATCTTCAACTTGTGCGTTACAATAATGACAAGATGTATCTGGTGTTTGATACCAGAATTGTTTCGTAAGAATTTACACTGAAACCATGAATATTACAACGTAGCTTTGTCAGGCATCTACGTAAACCTGCATTATTGATAAATAAGTATTTCTCGGGATTGTAGTGATGTTTAATCATTGAGTAGAATTTTAAGTATCTTATATATATGGATATTTCATGGCTCCACTCTTGGAAATAAACATCTTTACATCGTTGCTGAAATAATTCTAAGAAGTAGTTTCTGTTATCAATTGACTGGGCTACCCACACATAACCAAAACCATATTTGCAAAGCAGTTTCCGTACTTTCGAGACCCAGTTTTCATCACCCGATTCATCTAATCTTTTTAACATTTCATAACACTTCTTGGTGTATCCTAGTGTTGGTTGACGGAGAAGCCTGATCCAAAATGCAAGTAATCTGACATTTGCAAATAAACATAGCGGATAACGCCCGCACTCAGCTTTGTTTGGGGATCTGGAGCCAATTTGTAAAACATTTTTACAAAAGTTTGTGTGGATTTTTTCAATAGATTTTCGGAATTCCCAATCCCATAGTTCTGCGCCATATAACAAAATTGGCTTAATTTTACCGTCAAATAGTTTGAAGGCAGCATTACCCGGTAGGTTTTTAAATCTATACATAAAGCGTTTGATTAGGAATACTGCTTTTTCAGCCAGTTGGGATAATGTCTCACACGCTTTCGTTAACATGTTCCTGCACGAGAAGACAATACCTAGATATTTATATTATGACGTTACTTCTATTTTTTCCCCATTTATAAACCATTTCTCATATTTAGATAAGGTCCCACCTTTTTTGAAAACTACAATTTTCGTTTTCTTAGAATGTATTTTTAATCCCAATTTCTCACAGTAGGTGCTTAAAATATCTATTTTCTTTTGAAGATTTAAAACAGTATTTGCAAATATTGCTATATCATCTGCGAAAAGCAGTATAGACAATGCTTTAAGAGATTCATCAATAAATATTCCACTGGCATCGGATGTTAATATATCATTTACAAGTTCATCAATGTACATTATAAAAAGTACCGGTGACAATATGCACCCCTGTCGCACTCCACATGCTGTATTTAATACATCAGTCATTGTTTGCTTATTGTACCTTACAGATGCCTTTACATTCTGATATATCCCATTTAGCAAATTATACACTTTTCCATGGATACCTCTTTGTAATAATAATTGTAGCACGGGTTGCAAGCGGTACCTTTGATCCTACCCGTGCTGTATCATGGTAGTAAGAGCACGGTTTGTTAAAGATTATTACCATTGGCTGATGCCAAGATCAGCAAGCCCCGCCTACTGGCTTGAGAAATTTCAAATTTACGAGAATGTTTCTTCAGTGTTGTACAGTGTTCAAGAGTAATAACGTAAATAAACCAAAAAACAATAGAAATGTTTATAACTTTATTAAAAGATTACAATGTAACTGTCAAACATAAAAACAACTGGACACAGAACGCATTTTGCTAAATTCGGAAAATTAATAGTTGAAATTATTAATGTGCCTTTGAAAATTCCAAAGGTTACACTTGATTTAACAATTAGATTAAAAGTTAAAAACGTTTCGAAGGCAGAAAGCATGTGACGTCATATTAACGTCATATTATACGTCACTAAATTTTACACAAACTCGCGCAATTTTGGAATGACCGTCGCAACCCGTGCTACAAGTCACTTACAACACACCCACCTACTCGTTGTTTGGGCAGTAAGAGCACGGATTGGCATGGCATTTGATTGACAGACAAAAGGATCACCTCGGGGCTCCGCCCCTCGGTCCTTTTGTCTGTCAATCAAATGCCATGCCAAACCGTGCTCTTACTGCCCAAACAACTCGTCTTGGTGTGTTGTAACTATAACATACATTTATTCCTGTCAACAGAGTCAAATGCTTTATGGAAGTCAAGAAATATGCAGTAAAATTTACACCTCTTCGTTCTTATATACTTATGAATTACTGAATGTAAGATAAAGGCGTGATCACTAGTGGTAAAACCTTCCCTCAAGCCCATCTGCGCTTTAGAAATAAGATCTTGTGTATCTATCCAGAACTTAATTCTATCATTTATGATAGTTAAAAACACTTTACTGATAACGTCAAGTATTGTTATTCCTCTATAGTTTCCTGGGTCAGTTTTAGCGTCTGCCTTATAAAGCGGTACTATTGACCCTACATTCCAAGATGATGGAAATGATCCGGTTTCAAGGATTTTATTAAATAACTTATTCAATAACGGTAGAATAATAGTGCATACTTCGGCAGGAATACCATCTTCCCCTAGTGCCTTGTCATTTTTTAGGCTCTTGATCGCCCATAACATTTCCTGCTGTGTAATAATGGATGCCAATTCATTATCACTTTCACTACAATATTTACACTCCTCAATATTGTGGTCTGAGAGAAAGTCAATTACATGATCGTTACACTCAGTAATAGATCTTATTTCTGGGTTAAGAAGTTGTTTTAAGTATTCATACCAAGATTGTGGCTCAATATCCTGTCTCATCAAGAATATTTTGACAGTAGCCCTTTATAGTTTTCCAGAATCTAGTGCAATTTTTATCTTTAGCGGCGTCAATAATATCCTCAAGTAGCATTTGTTCATATATTATCTTTTTGTCGTTACAAACTCTTTGGGATTCTTTCTTAGCATCAAGGTATTTTTGACAGTGTTGTTTGTCTTCCTAAATTGAATTGCCTTTACTGTTGCACAGGGCCACGGATAGCCATACTATACTGACTGTACTCTTTTTTTAATGTAATCAGTACAGTCAGTATAGTACGGCTATCCGTGGCCCTGTGGACTGTTGTAACCTTGATCAAACAACTTCTGAGTAAGAGCATGCCCGATTGTATCTCAAAAGTTGTGAAATATAAACACCAAAGGCTGGAGCTCCTGGAACATTACTCGACATAAAGGGTTAGCTGATTATTGGAAAGTATGTTTGAATATTTGTTTCTCAGTAATTATTATTGGCCTAGTCAGTGAATAGCCGATGCGTGTGATTAATGAATAAGCTGTGTAACATATTAAGTAAATTGTTCTGTGAGTACATATTAGTTTTATTGGAAATGGAATAAATCGGGTAATACCATTTAATTAACCCGTTCAGATCCTTGCAAGATTAGGTCTTCAGCAACCCATGTTTGCCGTAAAAGGTATGCTGGTCGTAAGAGGCCACTAACGGGATCGGGTGGTCAGGCTCTCTGACTTGGTTGCATCTTCCCGAGGCAAGAGAGTTAACTGACTTTAAAAGTCCAGTTTCCACCCTTGCCGAACTAGGCTGGCATTCCTGAGCTCGATGGTGGGGCCACCAGTGGCCTCTACGAGTCATGTCCCTTCTATGCCTCTCCTATAAACCAATCACCTCCACCTCTCGTATCACTTGCATTTGCATCAAACAACATGGCGGCGCCAAGTCAAGACGATCTGATCGACAATCAAGATCTGTACTGTGATAAAACGGGTCTTACATCGCGAAGTGCATCAAATCACGTGAGCATCTTGATTAAAAACTTTTGACGACGAGTTGGCTATGCACATGCTGTGCAAATCCTGCAATCTCCCCAACTCTGCGTGACAGTTTACGAACCGGATTTCGATTTCGGTGCGCGACTCGTTAGTCCAGCCAAAATCTAACTCCTTAATACCAGTCTAGTTCGGCAAGGATGGAAACTTGACTTTTATTGTCAGTTAACTCCCTTGTCTCGGAAAGATGACTTGGTTGATGCATGTCATCTTATCCCAATTGCGTGGATCGATGCTCA